AGTGAGCGGGAACCGGTCTGTATGTGGGATCCGAACCCTCAGCGGGAGCGCTACCGCACTCACAAGCGGCGCACTGTAGCAGTGCGCCACCAGGCCGGCCCCAAAATGTTTTTTTTTCCATATTCACTTCTCCCAGGATTTCTTGAATCCCACAGACTGATGAGTCTGCTGCATCAACCTGTAAAGGGAAGCTCTCTACAGATAGCTATAGGAATGAAAGAATCCTATTTCTACTCTCACAAAGCCCCTCTAAAGCCCTGGAGAAAAATGTGCTGTGTGCAGAGAGAAAGAGGAAGGGAGCAGATTGATAGGTTCACTGGGCTGGTGTAACAACAGAGAACATGACTGTCACTGGTCAGTCCTTACTTCAGATTACAAAACACAAAGCATTCACCTAAGTTTTCAATCACAAGGGGACAAAGCCAAAATATATAAAGACATTCTCAAAAGATGATGAAGTTTAACTGATAAATAAAACCATATAAAGTCTCTGATCTTCAATATCTTGGTAACATTTTACACTTAATGTACTTTGGATATAGACACTTATTTCAGCTAAATGTTCAGATAAAAATAAAGATCCTGTTTTCATGCAAATATTCTTAGTAAAAATAAAAGAGAAAAAGGAAATAGAAACCACAGGTAATGTTCAAAGCTGAACCTGATTTTCAACCATTAAGCCGGGAGGAAAAAAAGTAAAAAGAAAACAAAAAAAAAAATGTGTATTAATCTAGATTACGATATATGTCTACATATTATAAACACCTTCGAAATTAAGTATAAAATTTCAAAAGACAACTACACAAGCAAACTACCCTTTCATGTTCATGTCCTTAGATCAATTAAATTACTTGCGGGGCCTGGCTGGTTAGCTCACTTGGTTAGAGTGTGGTGCTAATAACACCAAGGTCCAGGGTTCGATCCCTGTACTGGCCAGCCACCAAAAAAAAAAAAAAGTTTACTTGCAGTTAGCTGTGAAATGGCCTCAGAAGATATACATTTACATATAGACAAAACATAGAAAAGGCATGAGGCATTTTTCCATAAAATAACTTTAAAATAAAAATTTTCCAGAGTTTCACAAAATACTACAATGTCAAATACTTACAGTTTGTAATATGAATGCAGAAAATAGACGGATTAATCTGGTCAACAACTTTAAACACCCTTTGAGGTGGGTTTGCTGAAAAATTCAACGAATAGATGGCTGCTTTTTGACTACAAAACTGGCTATCACCCCTGAAAATTAAAAATATATATAATAATAATACAAAGTTTTAAGGCATAAGCATAAACTTAGAAAAATTATTTAAAAACTGTCATATGCTTATAGTATACTATGATAAAAGCCACATGGAGAATATTTATGAAAGCATGATGTTAGAACTGAATCCATTTTTATTTAGTCTTTTCAATGTTTAAATGTTTGGCATTTGACAATTTTTTCTCTAACAGGTACAAAATTAAGACAAGTAGAATAACATTTAAGCAAATCTTGTCAAGTATAGAATATAGACCAGGGTATAATTTTGATGTAAATGAACCTTATAAACTCTGATAGCATCAATTACAAAAAAAGCTTATAGAACTTCAGATTATTTATAAGTACCCAGAATATATGCAAAATTCTCTGTCTTGAGAATAAAGATTTCTTCACAGGATTGTGAGAATGAGAAAATGTGAAATCATCTGGAAGGTTTAGGGCTTAGAAGTTATGGTACAGTCATCTTCGACCAAACCCAGGCTTTACATAAATATGGTATGGAGATAGAGTTGTAACAAAAATGGGATCATATTCTACATACCGCTTTAAGACTTTTCTCACTTAATATATAATGTCTAATACTTCCATGTCATCAAATATGCTTTTGCAATATTCTACTAAACAGCTTCATCATATGCCAGCTTATTTATACATCCCAATTTGTTTAGCCAATCCTCTACAACTAGATTGTTTCTAATTTTTCCCAATTATATATAATGTCATAATGACATCCTTGTACCTACATCTTTATGAATGTCTCCAGTTATTTCCTACAATACATGCCCTGAAGTGGAATTGCTAACTCAAAAGGCAGGTACATTATTTAAGGCTTCCAAGACATATTGCCAGATTGCCCTCCAGAAATATACAGTATACATCCTTACTAACATGTAGTAAGAATGCCTATTTCCCTATACTCTTGCCAAGATTGGATATTATCATTCGGTTTTTACTGGGCCTTAAAGGATGAGTAGGAATCAGGCAGACAGAAGAAATGAGAAGCTAATCCAAGTACAAGAATGGCACTGACCAAGGATGGATAATGAATTACTGATTGTCTTTGGGAAATTCTGAGTGCCAATGCTGGGCTGGAATAGAGGATTTGAGATGCAGTTAGTAGAAAATAGAATCTGGAAAAAGTTGTGGATTGATGTGAAACCAGGCTAAGGAGTCTACAGGTAAGAGAGCTTCTGAAGGCTTTAGCCGGTGAGTGACTGGATGAGGTATAGGTGTATAAAGTGGAAGGGAGTAGGAATGGACAAACATGAGGGCCATGATGAAAGAAGACTTGATAGAATGGGGCGTCTTACTTCCCTCCAGTCAGCCAGCTCTCCAGTCCTATGCAGTGTACTGGTATCAGATCTGGTACTTCTCTCTAGTACCATTGTCACACCCTTCAGGGAGAGAAGGGTACCCGTTAACCTTCATCTGCAATAGCTGCTTGCTTGGTTCTCTGCCACCAGACTTGGCTGCTGTGATCCATTGTGCATGCTGCTACAAAATTACATAAAATAGGAATCTGATCCGCTCACTCCTCAGCCCCCTGCAGACTTCAGGACAAAATCTAAACCCTCAGCATACACACAAGGCCCCTCAGGACATGACTCCTACTTTCTTCTCCACTCTTCTCTCATCCCACCCCTCTCTAGCCACACAGAGTTACTTGCAGTTAAGCAAACAGGCCATACACCTTCATCCCCCAAGACTCTGCCCCTGCAGCTCCTTTAGCCTGGAATGCACTTGCCCCGATTCCACGCTAGCCAGCTTCTACTTGCCTTTCAGGACACAGCTCAGCTCAGATCAGATCATATTTTCTAGAAAACCTTCCATAGCCTGGCTGTCTGAGTTAGATGCCACTCATCTGAGCTCTCCCAGTGTTTGGTGCAGAAACCGCCACCCACTCATCTGTCTCCCTCACTCAACAGTTAACCCTTTGAAGGCAGGATCATGTCTACCTTGTCTTTATGTCCCTGGTGATGGCATACAGGAGGTGCTCAAGAAAGGCACTGTAAGGAGTGAAAGACTGCTTAGAGAAGGTAAGGAAGAGGCAGGAGTCAGGGGAGCCTCAAGGTTTCTTGCCTGGTGTCTGCCTGAAAGATTGACGGCAGAGCAAGTCAAAAAGGGATAATCGAAGATCAGTTACAGGTGGAGGGGAGAAATTCATTAATCCATTCAACTCATTTTTAATGAGGGCCAACTATGTGGCAGGAGCTCTGCTAAACACCAGTGGTATACAAAAGATATTCTTCTTGAGCTCATGAAGCTTCCAAGGGAAAACAGACATTAATCCAATAAACTTATAAATTTATAAGTGACAGTATTTGTTGACAGTTTCACAAATGTAAGCAAATCTTTTATGAATTAGAATATACTTAAGAATGCTCAATTAGGGCCGAGCCCATGGTGCACTCGGGAGAGTGCGGCGCTGGGAGCACAGCAGCGCTCCCGCCGCGGGTTCGGATCCTATATAGGGATGACCAGTGCGCTCACCGCGCTCACTGGCTGAGCGCGGTGCGGCCGGGCTCAAAAGAAAAGGACAAAAAAAAAAAATGCTCAATTAATTAGGATTATGACTTTTGATTTGGTTATTTCCCTACTTCCAATTTAGGAGAAAGTCACAAGCAAAATAACTCAAAAAATGTGAGGGCCTTTCCTGAGAGCACTATAGATTCAGCCCTGACTTCTAAACTAGGGGTCTGCAAACCACACCTGTTTTTGTAAATAAAGTGTTATTGGAACATAGTTATGGACATTCATTTATATATTCTATTTGGATCCCTTTACCGGCCAGCTGCCCAAAAAATAAAAATAAATAAAAAACATACTCATTTACATATTATGTAGATGCTTTTGCTCAACAATGGTAGAGTTGAGAAGTTGCAACACAGTTCCATATGGCCTGTGAAACTTAAAATAGTACTTACTATCTGACCTTTTACAGACAATGCTTGCTGCTGACCCCTGTTCTAAATAGTCTGTGTATAAAATTACCATATTGGCTAATCAGAAAAATAACATTCTAAAAAACGGTCCCAAGTTGGAGCAGAAATCTCACTCTCAGGCTCCTGTACTCACTAAGTCAAGAAAGCACAATAATTTTCAAAGACCATGCCATACTATAATCCAGGTAGCCAGAACATAAATCTAACACCCCATTCTCCAAGCATTTTCACAATACTAGAAATAAATTGAATTTCTCATTGGTCAGTAAAATAGTTTTTCACAGGAAAAATCCGTTTTACTTCCAAAAAAGATTCAGCCTATCAAGTATCAATTACTAAAACTTGCTATAAGGCTAAATCTAAATTAGCAATCTCTGAATAAGGAATTGGTTCCATCCTTGTTGGAAAAGTGAAAGAAAATGGTCAGGGCCCCTCAGATGTTCAGAATCTTGTCAAGCGTTTGATGTAAATATGCATGTGTGCCCAGGTGTTCCTTGGTTATTATCTAATATAATTGTGCATGTGCACCCAGTTGTCCTGGGTCACGGACTTAAGTATAAAGGATGAGTGGCTCTGCTCCATGGGGCCCCCTTACCCCTGGGATGCCACTACTGCTGCTAGAAGCTGTTGCCGCCAGCATCCCAGGGACCCTCCAAGAGGCCGCCACCGCTGCTGCTGGAGGCTGCTGTTAGCTGCTGCTGACTGAGCTCGTGTCATCTGCTGACAGCTCCCAGGATCTTTCCCAATTACCGAGCGTAGACCTGCGTGTGAGGCGTCTGGGGACCCAATCTGTACAATGGGTTTGAAGGGTCTGAGCCCTAGCTCTGACAATATCAATGGAAACTTAGTATAACTAAAATAATGAAATATTTTGGCTTTAGTTATGATTTGCCTTACTCCACAACTGGCCAAGTCGTGTGCTTTACAATTGGCTACATCGGCAGGATTCCAGCATTAGTTGTAGCTTTACAATCCTGAATAAATAAGCCTTTTCTAAGTGCTGCTATCTTTTCAAAAAGCTTTGAAATCTGACTTATGAGAACAGGTCATTCAGAAAAGGTTATTTCTTTACCTTGTATTTGACTGGGAATGTCATTTTTCCATTGTCCTATACAGTGTGAACTGTGAGAACTCTTGGTAGATTTACATGTCAGAAAAGCATAAGCAAAGCTTTCCTGACTATTTTGTTAGAACTACTATGTCCACAATAAAAGCTGTAAATTAAATTTCACTTTTCATCACCCGAGGCTATCCATGAGACATGATCACTGATAGAAAAAATGTGGCACAATACCTGTTTACAACTCAAACTGAAATGTAACTAAAGTCTCCAAACAGAGATTTCATTATACTGTACTCTTTAAAAGAAACACATTCTCTTTTCTTTTGTCTGCACCATCACCTAACTGGATGCAAATAATGGATAGCTAATCTATTTACATGTTGGTTTGGACAGTATGGCTTTTTTTTTTGGGGGGGGGGGGTATTGCTAAGGCTAGGGCCTACAAACCCGTTGTACAAACTGGGTCACAAACCCCCTCACCTGCAGGTCCACAAACTAAGTAATAAAAAAAGATCCTAGGAGCCATGGGTAAAAATTAATAGGCTTTATTCAGATGCAAGCTCAGGTAGCTAGCAGCAGCTCCCCTAGTGGTCTCCCGGGGTGTCCTGAGGGCCCTGGCAGCAACAGCCTCCAGCAGCAGTAGCAGCCTCCCCATGAATACCACCACCAGGGCATCTGTGGGGGGCGCCGTGGAACAGAGCCACTCATCCTTTTACTCAAGTCTGATAGCCCAGGACACCTGGGTGCCCACACACAATTATGCTAAACAATAACCAAGGTACACCTTGGGCACACGTGCATATTTACAAATACTTGGCAAGATTCTGAACATCTGAGAGTCCGTGACCATTTTCCTATATTTTCCCTTCAAGCCACCCCTTCGGGGTCCCTCACCACACAATCTACACATTCAGAATCTTCCGCAATGTTCCCTTAGTGAGGATAGCTGACCCTTGTATCCATATAACACATTCCATCCCAACAGTCCCAAGTCTTTAGCTTGTTCCAGCACCAACTCAAAATTCCAAAGTTTCATCTGAGACTAAAGGCAAAGCTCCTTTCAGCTGTGTACCTGTAAAAATCAAAAGCAGGGCCAGCCCCGTGGCTCAGTCGGGGGAGTGTGGCACTGGGAGCGCCCAGACCGCGGGTTCGGATCCTATATAGGGATGGCCGGTGCGCTCGCTGGTTGAGTGTGGTGCAGACAACACCGTGCTGAGGGTTGCTATCACCTTACCAGTCAAAAGAAAAGGGGGAGGGGGAGTGTGGTGCTGATAAAAATCAAAAACAAATTTATCTACTTCCAAGATATAGTGGGACAGACATTGGGTACACATTCCCATTCCAGAAGGGAGGAATAGACCAGAAAGGAGAAAAAACAGACCCCAAACAAATCCAAAACCCAAGGAGAGCAAACACTAAGCACAGTGGGGCATCTGGGCCCCCAAAACATTGGGCAGCCTCACTCCTACAACTCTGCCAGGTACAGCCCATTGAGCTGCCATAGTGCCTGCAGCTTTTCCAGGCCAGTGCTGCACGTTGCCAGCAGCCCCACTGTCCTGGCTCCACTAGACATTTGAGTTCTGGGCTCCCGGCAGCAGCCCCACTGTCCTGGCTCCACTAGACATTTCCCCAGTAGATGACCTCTGCAGTGGCTCCACTCCTGCAGCAGGTCTCTGCCTGGATCCCCAGGCTTTTCCAGACATCTTCTGAACTCTGAGTGGAGGCTGCAACAACTCCACTGCTCTCTCATATTCTGCTGGCCTACAAACTTAACACAACATGAACGCCACCAAGGTTTCCGGCTTGTGCTCACCAGAGCTGCTGAACGAACCACACTTGGGGCCGCCCAAAGCAGGACTGCTTCAGCCAGAGCGGCTGGGATGCAGAGAGCATTTTCCCGAGGGCAGCAGTGCCCCAGGTCTGACCTCTGGAGAAAAACTCAGTTCTGCTCGGCCTCTGGGTCTGTGATGGGAGGGTGCTCTTCCAAACTTCTGAAAAGCCCTCAGGGCCTTTCTCCCCTTGTCTTGGCTGTTAGCATATAGCTGCCCCAACCCCAGCTCCCAAATTACTTGAACCAGCTCAGCATAAGTTTACCATTTACTCAGTCTTGGGCAGTTCAACCTTCACATCCTCCCACCCAGTTCAAACAACTGCATTTGCCCATTTCATCAAGGAGTGGCTGCCCCGCCCCTGTGCATATCCACAGCTGTTCTGCAAGGGCTGCCACAGCAGAGGCTAACTTTTCCACCTTTTCACCAGGTGAAAACATACTTGAACTTCTGCAGGAGCACCCGTCCTTGGGTCATCTGCCCATCTGCATGAGGCACTCTTTTCTCGGGTTTATGCAGCACCCTACGAGCCTTCTCAGGTTTAAGTGGCACCCATAGAGCCATCTGCATATCAGATAAATGTGACATTAGTTTACTGCATCATCTCCAGAGCACATTACACCATCCACCCTAGGTCCCATAACTGCAGCAGCCAGGGGCTTTCCCTCTTTTTGCCACTTTACTGTTTCCCCAAGCCAACCAAATCGACCTGGGTATATGGGACATAGGTAGAGAATTGGGTCAACTGTGGGTTGCCTAGCGGTCCATCCAGTCCCATAAGCTGCTTGTGCTTCACTTTCTGATGAGCAACAGGTCGTTCCAGGAGATGCACAGTCTCCCCCAACTCACCATTGTCCCCAGCGTCAGAAACAGGAGTGACCTGTTGCAGTACTTCAGCTTCCAGGGCATGTACTCGCGTTTCCATCCTGTCTGCTTTCTGCTGCAACTCTCAAAACTGTGCCACTTCATGGGGTTTCTGGTCCATGTTGGCTCACAGTACAGCAAGCAACAGCCAGACCCCTGTCAACAGGAAAGTGGCCACCGGGCACCACATACTCAAGGGTAGCCAAATTTCCTCCTCATCCCAAGGGGCTTTCTGTTTCTTTACCTGCTTGGCAACTTACCCATGATGCCAATTGCTGGGCTCTTTTACCTGCCTGGAATCCTGACGACAACTATGCCACTTGTAGGGTTACAGCAGTAGCTACGCTAATAGTCTGGCTAAGGCACTTGTTGGAATCCTGCTAACGTAGCCAACTGTACTGTCAGGCTAGGGCTCACACCCTTCAAACCCATTGTACAGACTGGGTCATAGACCCCTCACATGCCAGGCTTGGTCACCAGACCCCTCACATGCAGGTCTACAAGCTAGGTAATTGGGAGAGATCCTGGGAGCCGCTGGCAGATGACATGAGTTCAGTCCTCAGCAACAGCAGCAGCCTTCAGCAGATCCAGCAGCAGTGGCAGCCTCTCCATGACCCCTGCCCAGGGCATCCCAGGCGTGGGGGGCACTGGGGATCAGAGCCACTCATCCTTTATACTTAAGTCTGAAAACCAAGGACACCTGGGTGCACATGCACAATTAGACAACAACCAAGGAACACCTAGGCACACGTGCATATTTTTACATCATTTGCTTGGCAAGATTCCAAACATCTGAGGGGCCCTGGTATGGGGATCTGAACTCTAGTATGGCTTCTAAATGATGCAAAATACAAGAAATCAGGTTTGAGTTTCTCCGCCTGGGGGAGTTTTCACTTTCTGTCCCCAAATTTTATTATCCTGGTCAAGTTTTATCAAAACTGCTTGTGTCAAACTTACGTGACAACTGGAACTGAGCAGGTAGCAAAAACACTGAAATCTATGGAGCTGCAGTCGGGATCACAACAGCAGTTGACATCACACTGTGCTGGGGACAAGTCACAGACACACAAAGCAGCAACTGCAGAAATAAGAGAGGTAGGAACCATGACATCACAATCAGCAGGTAGTGACTGCCCTCTACCACCACGATGTACCATAAATCAATTTCATACAAAAGGTCCATTTAATTTTTCCAATTGCACTTATGGGGAAATTTGTGAAGTGAAAATTAGCCAGTTTGAGCACTCCACAATCAGAGGTTTTCCCCAAAGTGGCTAATCATCTGACTCACTTGGAAAGTTCTGTCTGCTTTGCCTACAAAGACTCTGATTTGGTAAGGTGACTATGAAACCCAGACACCTGTAGTTTCCAAAAACTTTCCAGGTGATGCTGATAATACAATTTAAGAACCAGCCCACCTAAATCACCCTAAGAATCACCAGTTTAAAATCACAGATTCTGTATCAGACAGTGGCCACACACACAAAAAAATCACAGATTCTGAAGCTCCTTCTCTGAAGATTATCATTCAGAGGAAGGGCCCCCTAAACACCTACAGGAAACAGGGTTTTCAATCCTGTCCTTCTCATTCATAACCCGCAGCTTCGAAGCTGAATTCACATTCATAGGCTCTTGGCCAACAATCAAACTGGCTTAGAAAATCTTTGTTAATTTAGACAATAAAGCATGGGGGAGGGATAGGTATTTCCCCACTTAGCAACTTTTAATTATTAAGAATAATAACTATCTGGATTTTTAATTCCTATTTTATCCTGTCAAAGGAAAAAAAAGAAAACTCCTTTTAAAGAAATAACACAGGGCTGGCCAGTTAGCTCAGATGGTTAGAGGCTGGGGCTGATAACAGATCCAAGGTTTGATCCCTATACCAGCCAACAACAACAAAAAAATTTAAAAACATGAGAATGATAAACACGGAATCCATGGTAATGATTATTGCTGTGAGAGAGGAAATAAGATCAGGATTTCAATCTTATCTGTAAAATTTCTTTTTTCAAAAAAAGGAACTCAAGCAAATGCTGGTAGAGGGTCCATACAACATTCTTATTTGTATGTATGAATTATTTCACAATAAAAATGAGCTTTAGAAAAATGTAGCGCCCCAAAAAGGTATAACATACTCTGGGAAAAAGTGTGTGAGGGGAAGGGGAAGGTTTTGTCAATAGATAATGCACACAGAAGTTTTCCCCCTTAAGCTTATATGCTTCCCTCTAACCAAGGACTCCTCTATGTGCTTAGTGAAATCACGATGCAAGTAATGCATGCAAATGTAAAAAATAAAGAGTATTTAGGTTCCCTGCCTTATGTGTTTAAAATTACAATCTTGATTTGTTTTCAAAATTTAAAACCCTTGTAGGTAGATGTAAGACAACTAAGGATAAAGCAATAGGGTTTAATAACTCCACTTGGGGAAAGATGGTCTCTATCCAGGATGTGAGTGCACTTAATCACCCAACAAGTATCTGTCGAGCACTCGCCAGGTCTAAACAGCACTCATCTGCCCTTCTATGCCTCCTCTTATCATCTGCAGGCCTGGCTCCTAGATCAGGGTACTAAGGAACGGAGCTCAGATCCAAGATGAACAGTTATCACTCTTCTCTTCCACCAACACCACCTGCAAGCCATTCTCCAAATTTCTGTCCAGTTCTCCACTAGGAGTCAGCCTACTGCTCCAGCACTTACCAACTGTGTGACCTATAATTGGGTAAGTAATTCACCTACCTGAAAAATCGGGGATAACATCCGAGGGTTCTTGTGAGGATTAAATAACATATATCACAGGTGAAATGCTTAGCACAGTGCCTGCCACACATTAAGCAGTTAATGAATAAGTTATTATTACTGTCGCAGGTCTAAAGAGGAGTCCTTCAAAAGATGAAAAAAGCACAAATTCATCCCCCATACTGGAAAAACAGCCCTGAACACGGGCCTTAATAATGATAGTTCAAGCATAGATTCATTTTGGGGAGAAAAT